ATCGCTGGATGTACCTTTGACGTCGAGGGCGTCAATGGCTCTTCAGTAATAGGATCCCTCTCGCCTTGACGACTAGGAGTGGATTTTGTAGGGCTCTCGACCTCCTCGATAGCTTCCGTTTGAGGACGTCTAGAGCTGGGGGGTGGGCCTTTAAAGGCGCTGAATGGAAGTTTCCGCTGACTGCCTTCAGGCGCAGAGGGGTTTGTCTTGATAGGCTCAAGTTTTGTCATCTGGACACCAAGCCCGCGAAGGTCTCCAGGACTGAAGCCAAAGGTTCTGAGGACTGAGACTGCCTCTTTACCGATTGTCTCGTAGTTGTTAGTGGCAACTCCAAAGGCAACACTTTTATTGAAAGTGTCACATTTGCCATGACCAAGGTGTTTGGCTGGATCGAGAGGTGCGTCGAGCGATCTCCGCATAATCTTTACGGTCAGCTGTCGCCCCTTAACCTGCTCATTCAAAAGCCGCCTTTCAAGCTCCTTGCATAGATTGTAAACGAATTCCTCAGCCTCAGGTTGGCTGAGGAATCGAATACCCCAATTTATCTCAGCAGACACGGATTTCCGGGGAGGCTGCTCCCCTACCTCCGTCTTATCGATGCCACGAGAGTACTCCCAAAGCTTCTCTCCAGTCTTTGGGCCCAGCACAGAAGAAAGGCGTTCCCGGGAGAGAGCACGCAAATCCTTGACAAGCTTGACACCAACATCTTCCAGCTTGCCGCTAATACTACGCGCAACCCCAGGCAACTGCTCAACCTGGAGTTCTCCAATCATATCCAAAACATCAGCGGGTTTCAGCTGATACTGCCCCGCAGGCTTCGCCTTTCTTAGAGCAACTTTTGCTTGGAGGATATTTGCGCCAACACCAACGGATACATTGCATCCCGTCTTCTCCTTGATCCTGGCTCTTATGGATGTCGCGATCTCATCCGCATGCGCCTGTTCTCTTCCTATTGTATCCTCTTCCGCACCTTGGCCATTGGACCCTGTTGCGCTGTACACGAGGGCAGAGACATCGATGAGCGCCTCGTCGATGCTGACGCTTTGGATCAAGCCCCCAGTCTCGATGATAGCTTCATAGAAAAGCTGACTCGCAGCCTCATATCCAGGAAAGTCATAAGGGAGGACCTTGAGGTCACTGCAGAGCTCGTGTGCTCTCTTCATCCACATTCCATTCCTGACCCCGAACTCTCGAGCAGGATAGTTGCAGCTTGCAATTTCCGAGCCGGAACCCTGACCATGAGCAACGGCGACGGGTTTATCCATCAGCTCGGGATGCTTCTTCAAGGACACGGCGCAAAAAAAGCTATCAAAATCGACATGCAAAACATACCTTCTTGAGCCTACTGGTCGCTTTCCCGCTTTACCAAATTGTGATTTCTCAGCAGCCAATTTTTGCATCTTAGACTTGAGCTCCGATTTCCATGTAGACAGGTGATGCAGACGGCTTTCGGAATAATATTGCTTTAGAAATTCCGGGTTTGCCGTCGACGACTTTCGTATTCGCGGGTCCGAAAGCAACCAAGCATTGTGTTCCTCAGATGTAGCGTTCTGAGGAGGCCCGGAGAGCTTGGGCTTGGCCTCCTCGGGGAATTCTGGAACCGGAGGTTTGGCTGATCCCGACTCAATATTTTCTGCAATGGTATCTGGTGTTGGATCTCCCACAGGAACCGTAGATTCGAGTGGAGGATTTTCCGGAGCGAGGTTTTGTAGCTTTGATGGGGTGGCTGGCTGTCTTGATGCCTTTGCAACAGCTTGGCTCCAAGCGGCGCTCATCTCCGGGGAGTTTTTCAGTTGCATCGAATAGAAGCTGTTTTCCGTATGTTCCCTATACGTCTCTCTTGGCTTTGGAGTGGTCTGTGTCATGCTCCCGCTGGCATCAAAAGCCAGGACCTTCTGCCTGGGACCTTCATCTATAACACGATAATCGGTCCAAGAGAGCAACTTCCCAGCAGCAATGGAATCCACGATCCATGCAGGCTTCACAATCCTACAGCGGCCCCAGTCCACGGTTTTCTTGGGTGGAAGTGATGACGCGATGATGTGAGTTGCCATGGTCTTGGAATCCAAGTACTGGAGAAAGCCCCCTCCATGTTGGACGATTTCCTTGTGGAGGCTGTGTCGCGTTAGTCGCCAACTCGACGAACAAGTTCAAATTATCCGGCTTACATGTGAAGGGGAGGCTGCGTGTATCCCGAGACGTGCGCCACGATGCCCTTGAAGATCTGTGGTTTATCCGAGCGGGAGCGAATCTCGGCGTCTAGATTCTGCAGCTTGATCTTCTTGCGCCGGAAGTACTCGGGAAATCCGTTGAAGGTACTCCCTTCATATTCCTCACCGGTCTCATCTGTAAAAGTGTGCTTTTCAATCCGCTTCCGGACTGCCGATGAGTTCTTCTCCAAAGCGTTGCTCATCGTGACTGAAGGATAACGGGTCTTCGTCAAATTACGAAGCCAGAAGCAAAAATGTGCATTTTTAGCAAGAACCCAAAATATTCCAAAAATCTACAGATGAAATCCAAGATACTAACCACCGTCCATGGCCCTGGACGATGTTCACGACCGTGAATTTCGGTGGCGAGGTGTCGGTGCAAGTGGGAGAGTATCGCGTAAAGTGGAGCACAATCGAGCGCGCCTTTCACACGTCATCCCGTGACTACCGGCTCTTGAGCCACAGTAATTTCGTCGCAACCTTGAAGAAGTAACCCATCACTAGCCACATCTAGTCCAAGGCTGAGAAACCCAGCTCAGAGCCGCTGTTGAATTTCTGCTCTGTTCTTCTGCAGCGCGCTTTGCTGGCTCGCCGTCCACCGCCATGAATAACCAGCAGTTTCGCAAGCTTTTGCTCAGTTCATCCGGCAAGTCATCCAAGGATGATTCTACGAAATCCAAGCCCGCGGCTGGTGCTGGCAGCTCACTGGGTTCGCGACAACGGAGCAGCATCCCTATGACACCGTACGTTGGACACATCCCCAAGCGCATCGCATTGGGAAAGTTAAACTAACTCGATTGGTCCTTGCAGGCGCGTTCTCGGAGGCTCACAGGCAGATTTTGCGCGACAGCTGGCTGACCGCAATAATGCGAACAAGCCTCAGAGACAGTTCAAGACGGCGGCCCCTAGAGGCAGTAAACTCGCCTCCGGCTACGTCGACCGAGCGAAAGAGCGAACGGATCAAGAGGGGGACGATCGCGAGGAGCGAATCAAGGCACTGGAAGAGTTGCTAAAGAAAGAGGAAATCGACCAGGAGACGTTTGACAAAATGCGATTCGAGATCGCTGGAGGTGATCTCGAAAGCACGCATCTCGTGAAAGGCCTGGACTTCAAGCTCCTGAAGAGAATAAAGCAGGGAGAGGATATCTACTCTGGAAAGGCGGCAGAGGCTGATAAAGATGCCGGCGAGGAAGAAAACGACATTGATGACGCATTCGATGAGCTTGAGCAGCAGGACGTTGTAGCAGTCGAGAAGGAAAAGGCCGAAAAGAAGAAGGGTCAACTCTCTACAGTTTCTCTAGCGCCGGGAAAGAAACGAACTCGCGATCAAATCCTTGCGGATCTTAAGGCTGCACGAGCAGCCGCTAAAGCCAGCCAAGCGCCGGCTTTGGGTGATCGCTTTCGCAAAATCGGCGGCAAAAAGGAACCCGGGACACGAAGAGAAATAGACAGCAAAGGGCGGGAGGTTCTCATTATTGTGGATGCGGACGGTCACGAGAAGAGAAAGGTGCGGAAGTTGGCACCAGGTCAGACGGCGGAACAGAGCGACCTCTTAATGCCAGATACAAATGCCACGCCCTTGGGGATGGAGGTTCCCGAGCAATACCGAAAAAAGGAAGAAGAGCCTGAGGAAGATGAAGACATGGACATTTTCGAGGGCGTGGGCGACGACTACGATCCCTTGGCTGGGATGGAAGACTCAGACTCGGAGTCCGACTCTGAGGACGACGAGTCCAAACCGAAACGAGAAAAGAGAACAGAGGCAGAGAATGAAGAGGCAGCGGAAGTACGAGCAACGTCTACAGAAGGCGAGGCTCTGCCGAGACCGGAAGCCAACGCAAAAACAGACTATTTCAAGGGCGCCAAAACAGCGTTGCTATCTTCAGAATCCACCAAGGCGCCATCAATGTCAGATCCTGCTATCATGGCTGCAATCAAGAGAGCCGCAGCTATCAAGAAGTCAACAGCAGATAAGGAAGAAGGGTCCGACGAGGAGGATGATCTGGAAGCCGAGGAGAGAAAGGCCAGGGAAGAACGGCGGCGACAGATGTTGCAAGTATCCAACAGAGACGATGAGGATCTCGATATGGGCTTTGGTACAAGCCGATTCGAAGATGAGGAGGACTTTGGCGACTCCAAAGTCAAGCTGTCGGCGTGGGACGGTGATGGCGGTGAAGGCGATGGTTCAAGGGGCGGGAAGTCCAAGAGAAAGAGGGGTCCGAAGAAGCGGAAAGGCGACGCGAACAGCGCTGCTGATGTGTTGCGGGTGATGGAGCAGCGGAAGAAGTCATGAACAGGCGTAAAGTTGGGAAGTTGGACGGTTACCGTATGGACTATTGAGCGAGCCTGTCCGACAGCCGGTGGCCAACTGATATCTCGAAGATACACACCGGGTGTGTTATATGTTTTATCAGTCATGCCAAGAGATAGGCTCCGCGCTGGAGATAATTCCCACGCATGAATGAGCCAGATGCCAGCCCGCATTGATAGGCCATAGCGTGAGCGAGTCCGGAGGTGGGCACTGGAAGGAGCGAGATGAGGGGCACAAGCGAACCCCACCAAGATCCACGGCCCAGAGACGGAACCCGGCGGGCGACGTCGCAAATAATGTTAACTGGCTGCCCTGACCTGACCCAACCAGTCGGTCTCGTTTCACCCCTCCATCTCATCCTCGTCTCGCCAACACCGTTCCTGAGCTGACACGTTCCTTGTTACCTGTCACCTGGATTCACGGAGCCTCAATCAATCAATCTCATAGCAGCGACAGCGTAATAGAATAAAGCCTAGAACATGACTTCTCAAATTCCCGTCTGGCTTGACTGTGATCCTGGTCACGATGTAAGTTGTCCGTCCTGTTATTTCCCACCCCGCCTACTTGGTGCTCCCAAATAATATCACGACACCGAACACGGACCTCAAACCAGCTGGCATTGGGCTCGCGTTTCATGCGTAATTCAGCATCACAACCAAATCCTTCCTAGGAGTATTCAATGTCAGTCACGCTAACCAGTGCTTAGGACGCCTTCGCCATCCTTCTCACAGCGTATCATCCCCGGATCAAGCTCTTGGGAATTTCTACCGTGTTTGGCAATGCCTCCTTAAAGTGTGTATCACGAAAACCCAACCGCACAAAATTAAAACTTCCCAAGCTGACCAATCGAACAGGAACACAACATACAATGCCCGCTCCCTCATCACAGCCATCGGCAAAGAGAAGGAAATCTCCATCCATGTCGGCCTAGACAAGGCCCTCGAGCGCCCAGCCCTCCACGCCCCCACGGACATCCACGGCGAGTCTGGTCTCGACGGCACTGAGCTCCTCCCCAAGCCCCTAAGCGAGGTGTCGCCCGTCCCCGCCGTCGAGGCCATGGCCGCCGCCCTCAAAGCCCAGCCAGCAGGCACCGCCTGGATCGTGGCAACGGGCGCCGTCACCAACGTCGGCGCCCTGATCCGCAAGCACCCCGAGCTGGCCTCGCACGTCAAGGGATTCAGCGTCATGGGAGGCGCCATCGGGGGCGGCTTCACGGACGCGCCCCTCGGCGTCATCGACGGCAAGCCCCGCATCGGCAACTGGACACCCTACGCCGAGTTCAACATCCTCGTCGACCCCGAGGCGGCGTCGGAGCTCTTCAGCAACAAGGAGCTCGCCCCCAAGACGACGCTGATCCCCCTCGACCTGACACACCAGGTCCTCGCTACCGCCGAGGTCCGCCAGACGCTCCTCTACGGCAAGGACGAGGAGCAGACCGGCCCCGGGAAGACGAAGCTGCGCACCATGCTCGTCGAGCTCCTCTACTTCTTCGCCAAGGGATATGCGTAAGTTTTCTTGAACCTTAATTCATCAACCTTCGCGAATGGCTCTCCCGCCCGTTAGACTAGACCTTTTTGTGATCGGTGGGCTAACTAAACTATAAAAATAAAGTGACAAGTTTGACATCACCGAGGGCCCACCCCTGCATGATCCTCTGGCAGCGGCCGCTGTGCTCGTCGGCACACCAGATGAGATTCCTTTCTACGACTGGGACGCCGCCAAGAGCACGGCCCCCGAACATCACGAACGCTTTGAGGTTACCGTCGTCACCGAGGGAACGTTTGAGGAGGCGCAGGTCAAGGAGACTGGCCGAACGATCGCCAAGGAGCTCCCAGCTGGCTCGGAGGGCATCCGAATCCCACGTTCATGCGACGTGAAGAAGTTCTGGGAGGTCATCGAGGAATGCGTTGAGCGCGCGGACGAAGCAAACAAGGCCCTTGGAAGGTAAAGTTGGGAAAAGTCGGACAACAGCTGCTCCCAAGGGAAACCGACGAATATCGTATAGATTTGCTCTTGGGTGTTGAGCGCGGAATTAAATTAGACCCTATATAGATGGCCATCTTTATCGTACATACAGAAACTAGAGCAAAAAAGCACAAGAGAACTTTTCCGTTCAAGTGCACCTTTCTCCGGGTATCATTATCACATATCCTTCTTCTCGTCCATGCTAATCAGCAACCCCAACGCTCTCTCATACGTCCACACCGTGACAGCGCTAGCCGGCGCCGACTTTATCAAGCTGATCGGCAAGCCCTTGAACAAACCCCTGAACCCCTCGGTGCGGACGATGGTGACGAGCGCCTTCCGCGCGCTCTTGTACTCGGGGATGTTGCCGTACACGTACCGCATCCGCGTCGGGCCCTGGACCTGGATGCGCTTCCGCACGAGGTCGAGGGGGAACACCGTCGTCTTCGCCACGACGCTCCCGACCATCCCCGCGGTCGCGTCCCCGCCGCCCCAGGGCAGGTTGTACCTGCTCAGCGCCAGCCGCAGCTGCTCGTACGTGAGGAAGAAGATGCCCATCGACGGGACGATCTGCCCCACGCCGGGGCCGATGCCGCGGAAGAAGCCCTTCCACCCCTCCTCGCGCCTGATGCTCGAGATGGCGCCCCACAGCGAGCTGTATATCCTGTGCCTGCCTTGCGCAGCGAACCGCGTCCTGAGGAGGTCGAGCGGGTACGTGCATGTCGTCGCCACGGCGCCCGCGGACGCCCCCGCGATGAAGCTCTCGGCGGCCCCCGGGAGCCTGTTGTCGGCAAAGGCGCTCTGCAGGGCCATGGTCGTGGCGCGGTAGGTCCCGAACTGTATGGATGCGTAGCAGACGTACATGATCTCGGCGGGGACGTTGCCCTTCCACAGGCCCGTGATGCCTTCATGCTTGAGTATGTGCTTTACCGTCGCGACGGCGCCTCGGTAGGCGGGGGCATCGCGGAGGGGTTCGAGGGGGTCGGTGAGGGAATGCGGCTGCAGTTGCAGGCGAATCTTGACGACGTCTAGAGGTGCGATGATGAAGCTGGGAGAAAAAAAAGGGGGGTTAGATGAGCCTAACATGGAGGGTTATATGGTTCAAGAGGGGGCTCACCGAGATATCAAACCAGCTATGGCGCCGGCAGACACGACTTGAAGTCTGGTGCCTTCATCTTTGAGAGGAACCACACTGGCTGACATACAATCAATCGCCTCAGCCCTGAGCGGACGAACTTAGGGTTAAGTTTAGCGGTGTCGGGGCGAGGGTCAGGTCGCAACAATTCGGGTTCCAGTTCGTGGCTCGCTTCAGCTCAGACTCCAAGTTTCACATAGTCCGGGGGCCGCAGTGTAAACCCAATCAGCACCTAGCGTCTCGCCCAATGCAGAATCAACGACAATGGCCGTTCTTGACGTATCGACGAAGGCAAGGTGATGGGGGGTTGATCTTGATTCAGCATCTGGGCTAAAAAAAAATCCCCGGCTCCCTAGAAAAAGCCCCCCACATATGACGATAAGATTGCTCTTGATCAGCGATTAGGCCCCTGTCCGCTTTCTAGCGGCTGGACGCGGCGCATAAGTTAGACTTAGCACCAGGCACTCGCTATATTGTTACTCCGACCTCGGCGGATAGCGCAGGTCCCTTATTTCGATCAATTCCTGCGGTTAATTGATTTAGCAGCCCGGCGTTTCTGTGCTTGGGGAAAATCAGGTTTCTTGTCCTTGGCACTTCGTATCAATCTCAGGTAGTAACGTTGTAGCCAAGATCAGATCTCTTGAGAATCGAGCCAATGAGAACTTCCCTGAAGTTCAATGAACGTTTGCCCTGATTATTTGGAGTATTAACTTCGTCCTTTATTTAAGATGGCCTGTAACGGACAGGATCAAGTGGGCCGACTAACTCTCTTTGCTTAAACAGCCGATGGGATTTTTTTATCGGCGGTTTATTTATTCAATATCTTGGCATCAGTCGGTGCACCGCGAGTGGGATGCACCAGTCTCGTCAGTTGTCATGTCTTCTTCGGGGGCGCCGCAATACAGCGGTGCGGGCTCAAAAACTGAAGCAGAGGTCATTTCCGAGTCTGGCAGCTCGGGAGGTCGTGTAGGCAATTAAATCCACTTGGAAAGCTGGGAGCCAGTTCTGTCACCGAAGGAGACATGTGATCGGACATGGGCCAGGTGCACGGCCAGCATTGGACCATAACAAGGTCTGGTGGACGGTCCAAGGTGAGACCTGCAGCCAGGACAATTGGGCAGTGCAGCATCATCCACGGTAGACAGTCACCCGTAGTATTAGTATTCCGCCTTGTGTTACGGATCCAGAGGCGCCTGGCCTCCCAATTACCGGCCGCAGTCAGGAACATGCCGAAGAATACCGTGGCCCGATGACACCCCAGCAGTTCGGTTCACGGCTCACCAGCACAGTCGTCCATGGGTGAACGGAGAGCCCAGGTGCTAATTGGCAGCATGTGACTGGCTGCGGCATGACCCCAGATCCGCCTATCTCGAGGGCTGGGGACCCCGATTTGGCCTGTCAGAGGCGCCTACGAGCCAAGGCGGGCGACAGGGGACTGCCTTTACTCTTGTTACAGTAGCAGTGTGGATGGGCGGGTTGAGTTTGTGTTGGTGACGTTGAAAGCTTAGTGGAGGCTTCCCTTCCTCCGAGCTCTGACCCCACCAACGATGCAACCTACTACGCATGCAATTATACAGCCCACATCCACCAACTGCACCACCGCATGTGCTAGCAGTCCAAGGGCTCAATCCATGCAATTATTACCTACCTACTTACTCTGTACTCTGGCCGACCGGATCGACCCCATCTGGGCATAGATAATACGTATAAGCCGTCTCCCGTCCGGCCAGCAGTATGAATCTTGTCTTCCTCCTCTGCCACTGGAACATCGCCACACACAAACTTTGATGAGGTTGAGTTTCTTTTCTCCGCCACTCACCACAGAATTTAAGACAGGAGTCCTCCTCAGCCAGTCGACGACAGGCTGCATTCGACAGCTACACAACGTGGGAGAGAGGGAGCCGACATCTCACCCGTCAGCAATCGAGCCCAACCACACGAGATATCGGGTGCAAAACTCCTTCATCTCAACGTCTAATACCACTTCCTACTCTTAATCCATGCCCTCCAGCTCCCACACATCCTCGATGGCTGTCACAAAGCCTTCAGGGACCCCAAGCCCTGCCGTCTCGACCCTCCTCTCACCCCTCATTCCCGCCCTCACAGCGGCCGCCGTATCGAGCGAACCCGCCTCAACAGTCCTCCCGCTCCTCTCGCCCATCCTCCGCCAGCGCGTCCAGTTCCTTTCCTCCTCAGGCTCGGATCCCTGGCTCCGCCTCCTCTGCTACGACACCTCCAAGGCGGCCAAGCTCGCTGAGATTGCCACGAATGGCAGCCTGGACCCCCACCCCGCCTCCGGCGAGATCGAGGTCGACTGGGACCACGACTGCGAGACGAGATACCGCCGACTCGACGCCGAGACCCTACAAGCCTTTGTCGTCCTGAAGGAGCTCGGCCTCGCCTTCAAGCTGGTCCACTGCATTGAGGACAAGGAGGGAGCAGCCGACGGCTGGCGCGTGGGCGAGGTCACCGTCGCCGAGAAGGCCAACCCCTTTGAAAGCTTTGACGGCGCCTCGCCCGACCTCGCAGCCGCGGAGCAGGCCTTTGAGAGCAAGGCCCAGCAGCAGCAGAAGAGCTCCCTCTCCGTCACGAACGGGCACGCCTCCAACGGCGGCCACCTGACCGCCACCAACATCCCCGCCGAGGGAGAGGAAGAGGACGATGACGACTACTGGGCTCGCTACGACAACTCCCCGGCGCGGACACCAGCCCAGGCACACTCCCCCGGGCCCCAGGCCTCTGGCGGCCCGGTCGGAGGATACAACGTGCCCGCCAGCACCGCCTCCGCCGACGACGACGCCTACTTCTCGCGGTACAACGACGTCCAGCCCGCGATGGACAACCACGACCCGGACGAGGAGGCCGAGCAGGCGCACCTGATGCCCCCATCCCTAGACCTCGATCCCCAAAACAATAACAACAGCAATAATAACAACGCCGCCGCCGCCGCCACCACCCGCGGGCGGTCCCTCTCCGACCACAACCACGAGGGCCTCCTCCACCCCCGCCCCGAGTCGAGCGCCAGCTCCCGCAGCTCGCAGATCATCGAGAAGCTCGAGGAGGAGGCCGGCCGCAAGGACCAGAGCGACTTCGGCGTCAAGCAGCACATCTCGAGGAGCATCCGCAGCCTCTTCATGCTCTCCCGCGCCTCGGGCATCGAGCGCGAGGAGTTTGAGCAGCTCGTCAAGACGGAGCTCGACGTGCTCGGCATGGTCGAGGAGGACCTCCATTAATACTACCTAATTTGAGAGAGAGTATTGTTTTGGCTAATTGTTTCAATGTTGAGATGTCGGGTCTGGCATTCTATTATTGTTTGTTTTTATTACTTTATACTCGAACTCTTTCATCGGTATTGTTCGCTATATTGTTTTATCTATGACAATGTCATGACGGTTCACATGGGACACGGGGATTTTCATTGGCATGGTTCAGGAGAATTGGCGTTGGGCAAATTGTATTCACTGAGGACTGGGCAAAGGCTGCATGCATCATGAAAGTCAACTGGTTGCGTTGGAATTGGAATTGGTTTTTCACAGTTTGGATATCATCGAACAGGTCGCATCTGGGAGGGCGAAGTTGTGTGAGAATTATGTATATATCTCGATATTCGAATTGAACCCATCAGCGTTTTCTCTAACTCCGGGAGATTCCCAACTATTTGCTCTCCATCATCACAATGTGTTGAAACTATATACTGAAAATCAAAAAGCACCCAGCCAAGTCATTTAGAGAGTCACTTAGCCCGCTACGTCAAACAATATCATAACGCCATGGGGTATTACTTCCCCTATTCTGAGAAAGAGGACTACCCGTTATATCGGAAGGTAGATTCCCAGGGTATCAAAATCCAAAAAACAAAAGCGCAAAAGGGGGGTGGGCGAGACATGAGCTGCACCGCCAATGAAGATGTTGGCCCTATGCAATCACAAGATGATCAAGCGCTATCCTCGCCGCTTCCAGGACCTTGATGCAGTTCCGCTCTTCCACGGGTAGAGGTTTGTATTCGCCGTGGTGGAGGAGGAAGCCTTCGTGCTTCGGCAATGAACCGGACTCTGCCATTTCGTCCATCATGGCGTGCCTCCTGTGACTGCGCGCCTCCATCGATTTAACAATGTCTCTAAGACCCAGCACTTGAAGGCCATGCATCCCATCTGGGGCTTCACTTAACCCGTACACATCTAGACGGAGGATTGCTCGCATTGTGGTGCGCCACAGATCTGGCTCCATGTTGCTGTTGTTGTAGTCTTGCATCTCGGGACACTGGAAGGTGAACTCGGCGGAGCCACACCAGACACCTCCGATATCCTCAAAACTAAACCAGAAGGTGCGGTTCTCCTTTTTGGCCTCCTTAGCTTTACGGTCAATCATCTGAAGGATTGAAGCGTAAGCGTTACAGGCGGATGGGATAAGAGCAGCAAGAAACATTAGGCTCTGGAAGCTTTGAATTGGAGGGGGTTGCGAGATATCGGGATCTGAGCAGAAGGCGCAATTCATGACGTTGTGTGCGGTCTTGGTAGCGTTACGGGCCACACGCATGGCAGTATTGATGTCCTGGGGGAGGCGAGAAAGAGAGTCAAGAGCAAGATAGAGAGAAGAGAGGCAGCCACAGGCAATCGAGGGCATAGGCTTCGGGCACGACTCTGACGAGGAAGACAGCGGCGGTGGTGTTGGCTGAGCCTCAGACTGTGGTTCAGATTGTGGTTCAGGAGAATCAGTGCACTGCGATTGGTTGCTAGACAAGGTCTGTGACTCTGCGGGCTCAAGATGCTGCTGTTGCTGCTGCGCATGCCAGTATCGCTGAAGGGAGTCGCTGATGTCTTTGGACATGTCAGCGACGGCGGTGTCGGGTTCGTCAAAGTTGATACTCTCAAGCAAGTCGACACCATTCAAGTTCAAAGGGATTCCAATGCTATCCAGTTGGCCGTCGTTGGGTATCAAGATGTGGGGGTCCAGGGGCAGCTCATCTTGATAGGAAGAGGGAGGAAGCAAGTCAAGAAAATCGAGGCTACTTGATGGGTTATGATCGAAATCCAGATTTGGGTCAGTAAAGAGAGGGAGTGACAAGTCACCGCCATGACCGTTGATGCTAGGAATGTTGCTGGTGGCTGGCTCAGCAGGTTCAACAGTTGAACGACCGACAGCAACAACAGCGGGCTCTTCGTCCTGCTGGGGCTGGTCCTCGACAATGCGCCGCTTGCGAGGCCTTCCCATGGGCTTTTGCGGTGAGTAGTGGCAGGTAATACCCTCTCGGCGACATCTGGAGCATCCATCAGGCTCCTTAGTGCAGGCGAGCTTCCGGTTTCCTAAAAAGAAAGTTGTGAATAAGTCTCCGAGCAAGCACGCACGGTGGGAGGCGGTGGGGGCTTGTGGGATAGGACGGAGGGGTGCAGTGTAATAGGACCAAGGCGCAACGGAACTTACGGCATGCATCGCAAGCCCGGTGTTTCTCGACCGCGGGGCCAGCGGCCTTTGCTTGAGAGTCGTTGGGAGCCATTCGGTACCTGGGGTTGATGAGAACAGGTGGGCAAGTTGTGTGGTGAGATGAAGCGTCAGCGGAATTGGGCTCAGTTGCTGCCAACGCCGAGGGCTCGGAGGGATAAATCTGGGTCCGCAAGGGCGCTTCAAGGTGGCAGAACGGCGCTGTTGATTGCCCACCTACCGCCAACGCCAGTCTGTGGATGAGTAATACCCTATAGGTGCCTAGGGTGTAATGATGATGGTTGGATTGATTGACGCTTTGAAGAGGATAATTAATTAATGCATGGGGGAAGCAGAGAAGGAGAGTAAGATCCACTGTGCCTTCTGTGCGGGCGTGGTGATTATTAATGGTTTGTGAGGCCGCCACGCCTTCCTTGCCTGTTTTTAGTTCATCAACTATCCAACTCAAATCTGGCCAAAAATGTGTCTGCCATGTACTGCGACTGAGCAAGTTTCCATGCCTGTGAGCGAGAGGACACACGTATCCCCAGACCGTCCCTGGTCGACCCTGGACATCAAGGTGGTCCACATGGACTGATCCTGAGCAACGAATGGATGCCTAGCGACAGCCGATTGGGCACGGCACGGTCATCATGTACCCAACCGACAGCCTCGCTTAGGTCACCACGGCCATCAATTCATCTCAGCGAGCAATAAGCCGTGCGGGTTCTGAGGTACAACATATCTCATGGTTCTTTCTAAAATTGCCTTGTCGACTAATGCCACCAAGATACCTACCCTGATGTTTTTATCGCATTCTTCCCAGAATGTAGCTTGAATGCCGTCCTGCCCAGTGTCTTCCGTCCATTGGCGTGTCTAGTCTGAATAGCCTACGGCGGACCGTTTCTATAGATATGCATTGTCGCATATCTAGATGACCATAATGGTATGGGTTATAACGGGGAAACTTGAATATATGAGAGAATTCGACAGGCGCCATGCTCAAGTGGACTACGATGTGCTGGGCAAAGCGAGAGAGAACCAGACCTAGTCAAAAAAGAAGAAAAAAGAAAAAAGAAAAACCACGGTATCGCCGTCGGGGTTTTCTACAAATCGGGATATTGATGACTATTTTCCCTTGCCGCAGGGCAATGGCCCAGCAATCAACACCCATGTGTTGGTTTGGAGGGTGTCATTAGGCAGGTGGCCGTCCAATATATCGGTTGAGGAGGGCCTCCTACTAGGACTATGGACGGATGGGTGTTGCAGAACAGCTGCCTTTGCATTTTCGCTCGGGGAATAACAGCATACAGCCGATGGAGTGAAACCGGCCGTCTTACGCTGGCACGGACACTCTGGCTGAGAGGCTGTTCGATAGCCAACTCGAAGGAAGCTCGACGCGGCTACCTACATCTTGGCATTTCATTATTGGTCTTTGACCCATAAATCAAATGCATTCTAGCAGTTCATTCGCTTATCATGCAGCCGCCACACACTCACTCACGGCTGCCCACAGACGCTCTGACAGGCTAATGCAGCCACCGCAGGCATCCTACACAGCCGTACGCAGCTTGGCCACTGCCAGTCTTCCATCTCTAGTTCTTGTCAGACAATCACTGCCTACCTACTTAAGGGACAATTAAATGAGCAGGAGTAACTCGGACGTGGGGTAGAAGTTAACCTGCTCCCCTCCCAAGGGAGAGAGTGAGTGTGCAGATATCCAAAACGGTCACTTTGATACTAACTCGTACATGATAGCCCGGGTGCAAATCCCGGCGTTCGAAACCAGCGGCGATTCGCTTTCTTTTTTATTTCTTTTCTCTCCTATCTCTCTGATACAGCCAACGCACTACCAGGCCGTGTTGTCTCTGCACCTCCGGCCAGTTCACTAGCCCAAAGGACAGTCTCCATGAGATTCTTTTTGTCAAGGCGATGCCGTGTCTAACCTTAGCTAAGCTTCTGCACAGTCACTTCTGAACTTGGCCTCTACTCTCGTGAACATTCACTGGTCTCTTGCTACTCTTCGACTCCTTGTTCATTTTGTATCGTGTAACTTGCTACGCTTCTATGTCGTAATCTACCCTATAGGCCATCACCAAAAATATGATGTAGCTAACTGCCCGTACATTCGAATGATTGAGTTTATCTTCCTACCGTTCATACAGCGGCGATTATACCTACATAATTTTGTACCTACCAACCACTAATAGCGATAGTCGGACAAGCGTTATGCATCTTTGGATAACGTTTCCTTCGTCACAAGAACCATTATAATATTCCCATTCAGCACTCGAACATTTCTAGAACTGCTACCCATCTACTAAAGAGAATCAAATGCCAATTTCCCCAAGAGTTTTTTACCCCTTGGCGCTATGCTGAAGAAGAAGCTATACCGTGCAAGCTGTCAAATCTCTCGCTTGCACGGCTCAATCACAGGTACATGTCAGCACACTTCGTCGCACACAGGTACGCAAAAAAAAAAAAAAAAAGAGTATAAATTCATGCATGGAGCTGTGTCGGGAGATGTATGAATACATCCAGAGATCGCCATGTGAGCTTGCGAGTTTGCCAGGTGTGCTTCGTTGGAGAGGGTGTCACCAGACCAGGGTGGTGCCGATCACCCGCACACCCAAGAGGCATATGCACGATTTGGCCCTTGATGTCGCATCAAATCACGCTGGTCGAGTTCATGCTAGCACGAAGCAGAGAGATGGATAAAAGAGGGAGTCCCGCACACTGGTCGATATCCTGGTGTGCTTGTGCAGGTAGCAAGATAGATACCTTTAGGTAGGTAGGCAGATATAGGTACTTGCGTCAGAATGTGGGCAGGCTTTATAGGCACTCAGAAGGGCCGTTTAACACTAACTCCCCGGCCAGAGGGAGAGAATAGTCCTGGGTGCAGGTCGGATCTTTAGGTATTCCAAGCGGATAGGCAAACCAACAGCCAAATCCACAATGAATCATTAAGCTATGGCCACAGCCCCTGTTCTCTTCCAAGACCCCTACTTTTTACCTGGTCAGTTGCTCCGGGGTCTTTGACGTCACGTTATAGAAGCCGCCATTATCATCCTCCTAAAAAGTGCCCTGATTCACGTCCAGACCTCACCCAGCGACCGCTGCCTGTTATTTGTCCTGCTAGGACTCTGCTGCAGGTGTTTATGTAGACTGGGTCAGCCGCCACCACTTTTAACCGCCACAACTGACTCGACTGTCTCACTGCGCTGCGCTGCGCTCACACTATAATATCACCGTCACCCGCCGCGGTTCACTTCGTAGTGTCATGCATACTCTGTGTGCTGGCCATGCAATAGTTTCCGGCTCCTGCCCTACCGTCAGATAAGAGAGCCTAGAGAGCTAGATCCCCGCTGTCCACGAAACTATCGTCTGCTCCTCGAGGCAGCAGCCCCCTGTTGCAGCATCTCAGGCCAAGTACTCACAGACAGACAAGAATCAAGTCAAGATGCATGTACTGCTACCCAGAAACATCTCCGCCGTGCCAATTGAGCTCCTGGGCGATGTTGTCCGCGCTCAGTACCGCGCAGCCTTCACCCAGGCTGTCGCCCAAGGCCAGGCCCGAGTCCTCGTCGTCCCCTACACCCTTCTCGGGCCTCTGATCATACCCGCCGTGTGGCTCGCCATACCTCACTCGGAGTCAAGATGGATGAAAGCCGCCACCTGGCTCGTCGTCGGACTCGCCGTCTTCTTCGACCTCGACATTCTTCGCGGCACGTCAAGCACGAATCTGGCAGCCGCATATGCTGCTGGGCTGCTGGCCAACTGGGGAATCATGTCGACACTGGCTTTGCTGGTCTTCAGGAAGCCACAGCTGTATGCGGCCAGGGCTGTGAGACGGTCAAACAATGCCTCTTCTGCTCCTTCAACGACCGCCAGTCTTCAAAACGGACACAGCTCTGCCGTCAATGACGACTTGAGGCCATCGCAGCGTGAAAACGGCGTCCATCATCGCAAGCCTCACCGAGAAGACTCTGAACAATTCTCTCCCAATGGAAAATCTCCAGCCACCAAGCACGAAGGCGATTATATATGGGAACAGTTCCCAGCTCATGCTTCCTTTGGCAAGAGGCTCGGATGGAGTCTTGACGCGATAACCAATTTCCGATTCACAGGTATTACTTGGCCCCGTCCCAGACCTAGACTTGATTAAACCCTTCTTTTGTCCTCTTCCCCTGCCGCAAGCACTGATCTCGTCTCGCTGACGTTCTCTAGGCTGGAACTGGTCCATATCTGCCTTGCCACGGCCGAAACTCGACCATGGTTCCATAACTGGCGAATCTCTTCCCACCACCCCGTTTGATCTAGATTCCATACCTATCGTCACCGAGGCCGGTTATCGTCGCTGTCTCTCTCATTCAGAATTCGTCTGGGACCGTGTCAAGACAGTAGGTATCATGTACCTCGCCCTTGACTTTCTCGCCGTCTTCATGATGAAAGACCCATACTTCATCTTGGGGCCAGACCAGGCTCCCAACTACCCCTTACCTTCCCACCTCGCCCGCCTCTCCCCCTGGATTCTCTACCTCTACCGCGAACTCTTCTGCCTCCTCGGCATCCTGACCGCCATATCCGGAATCTTCAACCTCAACGACCTCGTCCAGTACTTCCTCGTAAGCCGTCTCTGGCCCATGCGCGGCGAACTCTGGATGAACCCTTCCACCTTTGGCTCCTTCACGAACGTGCTCGAGCGCGGCCTCGCAGGTTGGTGGGGCCAGTACTGGCACCAGCTCTTCAGATCCCAGTTTGCCGCGCCTGCCCGCTGGCTGGTCCGAAAGGGCTTCGTCGACCGGGACTCCATCCCCGGCATCCTCGTCACTCTCACCACATCCTTCCTGCAGTCTGGCCTGTTCCACGCCTTTGGTAGCGTGACCTGCATCCCCCGTACTAAGCTCTGGCGTCCCCCGGCCTTCTTCCTCCTGCAGGTTGTCGGCATCGCCTTGCAGTCCTGCCTATCGCTCGCATCGAGGAGATATATGCCCCCGACGAGTATTCTTCGCCACCGGAGAGTCACTCAAGTGTCTAACGTGCTCTTCACTTTTGCGTGGCTCTGCTGGACAGCCCTTTTTCTGTCGGACGACTTCGCCAGCACGGGGATCTGGCTGCTGGAGCCGGTCCCCATCTCGCCCTTTAGAGCTTTCGGATTCGGGTACCCGACCGACCACTGGTGGCGCTGGGATGAACACCATTGGCCCCGGTGGTACACCGCGCCCAAGTGGTGGCAGAGTGGTATCAGGATATAGGGTTGCACTAGACACGGACAGCGAGGAGTTGCGTTGGCATCAATTTTGGGCACTGGGCGGTAAAGGTTATAGAATTGCACGAATACCTAGACATTTTGTTTTTGGATACACATCATTTCGTAGCATTGATCAAGTACATAGACTCTTTTCCAGCTTAGCACTGGGGCCACCACTTCTCCCTGTAGAGTTGATCCTCTCAACCTCCTTTTTCAACCAGTTGATGACATCTCCATAGGCCGTCTGCCTCTTGCTAAGCACCTCGATGAATGCTCGATACCCAGTCCTAGAGTTCAGTACATTAGATGGAGTGGAATGCGAGAAGAGAAGAGAAGCTGGAGCACATACCGGAACACCTGTCCCTTCCTCAAATCGCAAGAGTATCCCTCGAGTCGCATCTTCCTCGACTTTCCAGTCAGGAGCGAAAATGCAACATCGACCATCTTGATGATTGAGCCTATAATACGTATTAGAATTGAGGTGAACAGTAGGTTTGGGTGCCAGGATATCGTACGAAGGATCAAGGGCTTGCTAGGTCTCTTGCTCTTGGGCAGGCAATGAATGTACGCCGACATCTTCTGGGCGGTCTCGTAGAAAGCCCCAGAAAGGGAGTCCAGAACGGTGGCCGTTGAGTTGTGCGAAGTATCATAATACATGGGTTTCGACTGGATTCTAAAGGCATCTTTGGGAAGGTTGTCAGTAAGACGACTTGAAACATTCGTATCGAGAACTTACGGAGCATCTTCTTCTCGAAGTTTTGCCCGGGGAGCCGGCCAAACTCGACAGTCAAGGAGTTTGCGATTCCTAATGCTCATCAGGTCAATTGGATATTCTAATGAAGCGTCCATTTTATAAAAGAACTCACCATTATCGGGGTCTTTGTTGTGATTCCGACTGATCTCTAGTGTCTGGCAATCAATAAGAGTCCCACAATACGGGAATTTCTCCTCGTGAGAGATTGTTGCGAGTGGCTCGTCTTGGGATTTCATATTGAAATTCAGCAACGTCTTCTTGGTGTTCACTTCAACACCGTACTCTGGCACACCTCGGTGCATCGTCTCGACAAACTGGACTGCCTTTTGCTTATCCTGCGTGATAAAGAGGAAATCGTCCATGAATCGTAGCAAGATGCTGTCCGGGCCGTTCAGGAAGCGAAGGTGCTGCGCTTCGAGATCCGCATAAAAGTAATTGCAGAGAAACGAAGATACAACCGACCCCTGAGGAATCCCGCGCTTTTGGCGGTAGAATCTCTTGCCCACCTTGACAATGTTCTGCGAGACGTGCTCCTCGAGGAGTTTGAGGAGCCCCGCTGTGTGGTACGTTCTTGCAGGATTCCCCTCGACAAACACGGTGTTGATCTTCTTCTCACTGATGCTTCTCTCTAGGCGCTCAGGCAGTGAGAAGGGTTCACCCTCCTTCAGAGCAGAAAAGTGCCACGTTCGTAGCGATTTGCTTGTCTCCTTGCTTTGGGCCGAGTCTGTCCGAGGATCCGGCATCATTTCAACATGTTTAACGACGGTGTAATGACCCCTGCTGGGGACCGAATTCATCAATTTGATCACTGCTTCTTGGGGAATTGTGTCAAACGCGGCATGGACATCAATCTTGGCAAAGTAAAAGCGCTGGGAGCTTGCCGCACTTCCAAGCGCCAGCTTGAATTCTTTCAGGCGACTGTAGATCTCGCCAGTAGAGAGCATTGATGATCCCAGCTTGGACGCGTTCATGGCCTGGTTTACCCAAATCAGCAACAAGTTTCCGCGCACCCTCCAGTCCATCGTAGATCCACGCGGGGACAATGACATTTGACTCACTTTTTCTGCGTTGAGCATGTGGTGGATCGGTTTTAGCTCCCAGTTTATGCTCGCCCCAAACGTCTTGGATCGGCCTCTTCCTGGCATCTTTTTACCCAGATTCATGATGGGTCTCAGGTCTAGCGTCTTTGGCAACAATCGGAGCTGGCTGAATCCCAGCCGTCGGGAGTCCAGTATCCGTGTGGCGTCAACCAATTTGAGAGGTTCGAGCATATTTTCCTTCAGCTTCGCCATGGCGGGCTCTGTGATACGCTTCCAAACGTCATGGCGAAAGTAGAAGAGCCGATTCCGATGGATGTTCGACTCCGTCACGTAAAAGTTGTTCCTGACAAGGGGGATGAGAAGCGAGTCAAAAACATAGTAGAGAAACTCGTGGAATAGCTCGTATCGCTTCGAAATATCCGTCTGGCTGGTCTTCTGGCCAGCGAGGTCGGGTGGGCGCAGCCAGGGGATGTCTACCACCTAAACACGGCCAGGTTAGAGAGTTTGTTCTCGGTGATTCTGATTGTCGTCAAACTCGCCTTCAGGTCCTGCACGACCTCATGCAGTGACATGACCTCGAATCGCCTCAGTCTAATGAAATGGTCCACTTTTGATCGAAACATCCTCTTGTTATGCACCATTGTGTCACCCTCCCCCCAAAACCTGTCCGGGACGATTTTCGCTAGCACGGCTTGGCAGTATGCTGAGACATTGCCAATGGGACAAGCGAGCTCTACGAGGGTGTTGTATGAGGGCATGTCGGAGTGGGATGGCTGCGAATGTGTCTTGTGTCCGACTCGCTTTGGTCGTGATGTGCCTTGAGTTGCGACACCATCAATATTCGGGCCGTCCCCCTGTTGTTTGGGAGCCCTGGACGAGGCTTGAGTCGCGAGATTTTGAGCTGGGCGGTGCGTGTCCCAAGCTGAAGGACAATAGTAACGCAGAAGCTCAAAGTAAGCACAGCGGCTGTGTCGAACCTGGAGATTCAAAACCAAATCTCTGGTAGTCCCCTTCAACCGCTTGGGCAACCTTGTTGGCTTGGTCTTCTCGGATGAATTGGAGCGCAAGGCATTGACTTCGTTGATCTCATCTTCCCTGTATGTATAGTCCTGAAACTTCATCGTAGTACGAGTCTTGTCCACTTCAGACGTGAACGCATTGTGCAATCCGAACTGGCGGGGAAACATGTACATCATAACCTTGGCCGTGTTGGCTTCGTTCTGCTCTCTCTCGTCCGGTGATGGCTCGTCACCCTCTGGTTTAACGTATGGGCAGCGGTTCAGAACATCTGCAGGGGTTAGTAGCATAATCAAGGGCTTGGAACTTGTAGGGTTGGAGTTCATACGTATATGTCTAAATCCTGCTTGGACCGTGCCCGCGGCAGTCAGTGAGGGTTTCGCATACATCGTTTTGTTTCTCATGAGAGTTATCTCTCCCGGTTTACGACAGAATGGTTTGGCATCCGCAACAGTTGCAGTCAGGCTATCGACAGGGAGAGAGGACATGAAGAGTGGAACGCCTGCTCTCTGTCAGTCGGAGAGCCTTGCTAATTCACGAGTTCTTCAATTAATAGTGCCTACCACTCAACTGATAAAAGTTCCCATGGCCAGCATCAACAGCGACAAAGAGGGTGTGATCAAGCAGCAGATCTATCATGAGTCGTTCACCGGACTGGCCCAGAAGGGCAAGAACTTGGGGCCAAGGCGCTTCCTTAAGGACTTCGAAGCTTGAACTTGGGAATCGGCAATAGACACTAGGAATTGAGGTTGTTCCCTTATCCCCATTTCCCGGCTTTGCGTCAAACCCGTTACATAAGACATGGCATGGCTGCGTGTTTGTGGTCTTCTCTCTATTAAAAAGCAGCCAGACGACAAACTCGAGAATCTAAGGTGGGATTGAGTGTGTCAGAGCCCAACATCTTACTATATCTTAGGAGAGGGGGAAAGGAGCAAACCTCAGTTTGGCTCTGCTTCGCACTACGAGTATCAGAGATGGATACATAGGACTCATCCCCTTTCTGGGAGAAGCTCTTCCATTGCTCCCAGCGAACATCACTAGTCTCAGATTTCTGTGCTTGTGGTAATCGACTGCATACAAGGGCTGTGTCAAGCAGAGCCGCTACACGGCCCTCTAGTTCGCTTGATGCATCACGGGCTGTGAGGGCTGTGATTTTCTTCCTCCGCAATCTTGAGGCACTTGGTAACTGGGCTAGAAGATGCTGCCTCAGCGTCTGGACACGTGGGAAACAGTGCTCGAGGAGCTTCCTAGTCACTAAGGAAGAGTTATTCTCCGGGGCATCTTGGTCCGCATCAGGTTTCTGGCTGTCGCGTTTCCGTTTACTTCTACGCGTCATATTGCAGGGGGAAATGGATGGATAAAGTAGGTGGTGGTAGTAATTGGGTGATGATCAGGCTTTGGACGGAAGCGGATATTATTGTTAGTGGTCCATTGCGTCATGGTGAAATAACGGACCAAGGCAAAGACGCGCTCAGGCTGGACGCGTTCCAATTCGGCTACTGGTGGGTGGTAGTTGGAAAGGCACAAACAGGGAGCCAGTTGTTCACGGCCTGGCACTTGGCCCATTCCACAGCCCAGGCTAAGGGACATACGAGAGGGACGACGAGGGAGCAGCGCTGGTGCAGGAGCTAATGGCCCGGACGAAGAGTCGCTCGACTCAAATTAATTATGTACGAGTGAAACGGTCCATATATGGCACGACCTCATTTCAGATGCGCGACATTGTCAAAGTCGGATGCTTCCCCGGCACCGACGACGTACAACGCTGTCAGATTGGCAGGCGGGTACCTCGGACGGGTTGGGTCATACTGTTCGTGATATTGACGGAAGAACTGCAGCCGTCAGGGTCACTGCGACCTTGGGCGAGAGATGGTTGTGCGTGGAATTGCACAATAGTGCCATCAACATATCTGGCATTGTATCTACATAGTATGCATATTCGCCTAGTAACGCTCAACAATATTAAACTACTTTAGCTCGTGTCGTTTATTGGCTTGCTAGGCTGGCTTCATATTCCCGAAGTCACCCACCAAATCTGGTGATCCTGGGAGGCTGGAGCTGTCGCGCGAGCAGGGCTGCTCGTAACCTTTTGGGCATGTGACATCAGCAGGGGCAGGACGAGGACCGACGCTACCGGCCGACCAGCTGTCGCACGTCCCTCGTGTGGTTGCGTTCTCTTGACGCGGACAGGCAGGCCGGATATTCGCAAACGTCGGAGCCTATTGCCGATGTTGGCTGCAACAAGTAGCATTCTCATTTCAACTTGCAGGTTTTTCTTCGGAACGCATTCACATCATGGAGGACCTACCCAGGGAGCTGAATTGGCCACACAAGGAGACCAGTTTCAGCCACCCAGCCGAACAAACCTCAGGCGGCACTAAAACTTGGTGCTGCTGACGGCAGATATAAGTGTAGCCCCATCGTCTCGACCCTGAAAGAGGCACGGTGCGGTACAGAGAGCGAAGGGCGCCGCCAGTCTGAAGGAGCCGGTACGACTTGGAATAATAAGGTTCTGCCCACCCCGCAAGCAATCTTGATTCGTTGCCACAAGTTGTCACTGCTCGCCAGCCTAAGCAGAGAAGCTGGTGTGCATAGCTCATCATAGCTCAAACATGATCGGCGACGGATAGCTTCCATCGAGAGAAGGCTGCGCTTGGTGCCTGCCTAGTCGGTCAAGGCGGATGGTTGGTGCATAAGCCGCGCAGCTAGAGCATGAATACCATATGTATATGCCACACGCGCGAGGTAGTCCTGCATTCGTGGGACGACATTTAATATGCAGGTCTGGCCATGGCCAGTTCAGTCTCAGCAGTCTGTGCCCCCCCTTGCCCCCCCAAACTTAGACGATCAAGCCGCCAGGGGTCTTTGGCCTCGATTGGATCTGGTCCTGGATTTCAATCAGATTGCCAACCAATGGCGGCAAGATGCGTGTGTGTGGACGGGTCGACATGTCTTACCGTTGATGTCCACTCGACGACCAACTTCATAGTAACCCACCCATCCCGTCTTTCTCCTGTATCGTGGGTCTGCAGGCGAGCGAGTTGGGGGAGGACGCGGACCAATAGATGAATCAAGATGGGGGGACACGATTCCTTTGGTCTGCCTGGTGCAATCCAAGCGCCCTTTTTTTTGTCGCAGGTCGAGCGACAATCAATCAGGTGGGAGGGAGGAAGGGGTCCAAAAAGCAAAGAGGGGGGAGAAAAAGCAAGAAAAAGGGAAGCCGACGGAGATAGGTGCTTGAGCCCCCAGCTGGAGATCTGACTGCTTGGCTATGGCCGATTGATATATCATCATCGAGAAGACGAAGCCCATGAAGAAAGCGGGATGCATGCACAGATGACAATACGATTAGAAATTGGCATGTCTTTGTTCATGCATCGCGAAGCCCAAGTCCCTTCGCAACGGGGCAATGGGGCCCCCCATTCGTGGCGCTGTCAGTATCCGGGTCAGGATTGGCTCCCAGCGCCCCTCTAGCAGAGCTGCTTCGGGGGGCTGTAGCCACTGAGAACTGGTTTCTGCCCATCTCTAGGAACGGGCAGGGTATCTGGTACCTGGCGGCAAGCGTGGGCAGCACCCTCCCCGTCGACAGCTGAGGTAGACGCTACCCAGCCCTTGGACCCGTCCTCTCGGCGGCCAACCCCACTCCTAGCCCGGTGCCCCTGGGACCCCCTGGACAAACCAGAACCTTTGCTAGCACAAGCCAAGTCCAGGGCTGCGCCGATGAAGCGCTGCCAACGAGCCGTGCTGGCCAAGCTAGGACTCAGGCACCACACCTTCTGGAGCCGTAGCCTGCCATCCTGCCTCCTAGGTGCCGCGCATTGTGGGTGCCACCTTTTGAGGTCAGAGTGAGAGCAGCACCGTTCTGCGTATCAATGGATTTTGTGGTGCACGGCACTGGCTCCAATCAACACCCTCGCTGATATTGGGCATCCCAACCCGCCAACGCATCGATCAATGCCCACATTCTCGGTCGCTCCCACCTAACGAGCCTAACGGATGCTTCTAAAGTGCGTGCAATAGTGGCCTGTCCGCCATGGACAGCGATTTGGACGCTGCTGGCCTGCAAGGGCAAGCCTCCAACATTGACCATGTCCATGTCGAAACAGCTCAACGCCGCGACCAGGACGCCCAGCACCTGCACCACCGACTCCCTGAGCTGCAGACTCACCACCACCAGGATCTGCTCTCCTTCAACTATCTCGCCGCCCAGCAGAATTCCCGGACCGCTCTGGTCCACGAGCATCAGACGGCTGGCTCAGACGATCAACATGCCGTCTTCTCGCCCGTAAACCCCGATGATTTCTACAGCACCTACCGAGTCCACCACCACGACAACAGCCACTTCCATCACCCCGACGCCCTCGCCATGGCTTCGGCCTCGATTCGCTCGCCGCCGCCGGTGCATCCCAATGGCGATGGCGGATCACAGAACCATGCCGCCCCCGCTGCTCCGGCTCTCACCATTCCCAGGCCCAGCAACCTTCGATCCGTCTCGAATCCAGTCGACAGCAAGGGCGGGCCCCGGATGCCCTCTGGCAAACCAAGCGTCAAGGACCTGAAGAAGCGATTTGACCAGCAGAATGGCGGCAGCACCTCCATCCCGCGTGCACCACGCCCCAACGTGGTCCCGTCTCGTGTCAAGCGGCAGCAACCGTCCTCGCCCTCGTACTCGGCCGTTCGAAGTGGAATTGCCTCGGAGGCTTCCGCGAACCCAAAGGCTTCCGCGACCTCTTCACATACCCAGAGACCGAAGTTCATGGCCGAGGATCAGGTGTCGAATAACTCACAGTCGTTTGCGAGTCGCCTAGCCAAGCCCCGAAGCGCTACTAGCGGAAACCCAAAATCGTCGCCATCACTGACGCATCCGTCGCCCAGCACCACCTCACCACAACAGTCCCTGCCACCGACCTCGTCAAATACAATCCACTCACAGGGTCTACTCTTCGGCGAGATCTTGCCGGAGCAGTACGACACCTCAGCACTGGGCTTTGGTATCGAGAGCCTGCGGCAACCTGAAGCGACAGAGTCCCGCACCAATGGCCAATGGACACATCAGCGAAGCCTCTCTGACCCCGACGTCGACCTCCCTTCCCCAGGCAGTTGGTCCAACGCTGCTGGAAATACAGAGACGAAGCCGCCCTCTATGTCTGCTCCTACCACCAGGTCCTCGCGATCCCATAGCGATGCGTCAACCCGCAAACCCCCTCCTCAACGCATAGCCCGCAAACCAGCGACGCGAAAACCAAACTCGCCCGACCCAAGGCTACCGCCCTCATCATCCAAATTGCCTCGATCAGTACGGAAGATTAATGGCCCTGACGACTCATCCAGCCCCTCGTCGACTCGCTCCAGCTCGCCGATAGCCCTCAAGCGGCCACCAGGAGAGGGTAGGACATCAAGAGCCACTACCCCTACCACTCGTGCCAAAACTCCAACATCCAGGGCTAGAACTCCTATACAGTCCGGCACCAGACTCCAGACATCTTCGACCGGGCTTCCTACGTCCAACAGCAACGGCCGGCTCCAGGCATATGCCATACCTCAACCAAAGCTCTCGCCGCCCTTGAGAAGTTCTCGGCCACGCCAACCGGTGTCCGTCGCAACAACAGCCAGCTCCCGATTAAAATCTGTAGGACAGCAGAGGTCTGTTAGTGCATCTGTAGCACAGATGCATTCGAAGCCTGTAGATCCTTCGGCGAGAAGGCGCAAGATCTCCGTCGGGCCCATCGATTTCGAGCAGCGCCGTGAACATATCCGACTCGCATACAGCAAGTCTCTAAAAGAGAGCCAAGCCCTAGAAGCGCGGCAGAGAGCAGCGGAGAAGCGACGAAAGGAAATGGAAGAGGCTGCAAAGGCCAAAGCCGCTGCCGAGGCCGCCACCAAAGCATCCATGGTTCCTGAAACCCAGGAGTCGCTGGGGAAGAAGACACTAGAGAGTGTAGAACAACTCAAGGGAGATACTGTCCACACCATCGTTGAAGAGCCCCATACACCGGAGGCGACGACTCCCATCGAGGCCAAAGAAGATGTTCTCAACGAAACGCCAGTACCACCAAGACTAGTCAGTCCGACGGCTGACGATAAACTTGCTTCGACCGTCACCATCGTCAAAGTCCCTGACTCGCCGACACTGGGAGTTCCGGGTAGCTTTCCCGACGTGGCCCCCCCTCAAACGACGGAGCACTTGCGGTCGACCGCTTCGCCGGTATCTGATACCACGGAATTCGACACGGAGCCTCAACCCAATCTTGCGGAGACGCCAGCGACACCTCCCAAGGCCCCGGCGACAGTGGTTAAATTATCAAGTCCCCAGCATCCTGCGTCGCGCCAACGGGC